CGAGTAAGAGAAGAACTCTCTTACCCTGGTTCACTCCGGTGTCACAGATGTTCGAAATATGTATAATAGAAAGTCGAGTCAACCGCCTAGATTCTTCACTCGGCAGAGGCAGAGAATACTCTCTACCTCCTGGTTGTTTTGACTGGAGGATTTCGGGATTCGTGAGCAGCGGAGAATCGGTCGGATCGGTATGCTGGCTCACGGCAGAATCTGAAAACCTAGCAATATTGCTCGGTTTATATACGCCCGCGGCGGCGTGTCGGCGTAGCGGGGGTATACGCGACGGCAATCGCGCGCGCCGGGATGGAGCGGTGGAGCGTTCGGGAAGTACGGCGCTCCGACGCCGCGATTGCGTTCGGTGGCTCTCGGTCGTTTTTGGCACCGCTCGGCGCTCCGAGTCGGTTGCCGCGCTAAGTCCGTTTGCGGACTGATACGCGAAATAGATAGTTTAAAAAAGGGCACACCGTGCCTTGTCTCGCCCGGCGGGTGTTCGGCTGGGCGGCATCCGGCTGATGCTCGCCGGGAATGATGCGTTTCGGGGCGCATCGTTACAAAATTATTAAAGTTTCACGTCCGCCATTTTAAACTTTTTACCATTTAAACTTAGGAAGACCAAATCACTTCTATATTAATATTCTTGGTCTTTTATACATTTTGGCCGTAACAAATTTCGTTTTCGAACGAAAATTTTGACACCTAATTATTATGTTAAAAATGAAATCTCCCATGTCCCTAAACGTCAATGGCGTTAATCCCGGTTTTCTATCTAAATTAATTAAATTAATAAACGAGATTGAAAATTGAACATTCGCTTTACGACTTCTGTACGAAAGACGAGGATAGTTTAATACCAGTCTTATGCAAATTCACAATGAGTAAAACGTGAATAGCTATATAGACTCGTAATAAAATTAAAATAAAATAAGAACGATATAGTCACTTATAAGGAATAATCATCGGAGTTATTTAATGAAAAAATACTTACTACAAGATTGTTCAATTTTGCAAATTGTTTTTATAAACAATTATAAATAAATAATTAACCACATTAACAATAACCGTTAACATATGCCCCAGGTCATGCATAACAACTTTTGTATAAGTCAAAACCTTATCACTCCTCCGGTAAAGGCTACAAAAAATTCCAAAAGGAAGGACACCCGGTATAACTGTTTAGCATGGGAGTTGTGCTATATAATTGGCAATTATATGGATGAAACAATTATATGGATAAAAACTCGTTCTGATAAACACGAATTTTGACCGCGCACGTAAACTCTGCATCAGCATACCTACAAAAAATAATAACTTTTATTCTTGCAATTGTTTATTTACAAAATATTTATAACAATAAAATAAAGAGTTATATAAAAAGATTATTTCATTGTAGAATCAAAACCGCGTAACTAAGGAGAACCTAACAACATCAATGTGTGAATTAAAAGGTGCCAAATTGTTCAACAAATAATTTGTTATTAACAAACATATATATTAACAAACAAATTTTCCAATGTTATATTAGATTTTAGTGAAAGTCCTGCAATATATTTCCTACACACTCCTATCCAATTCCCAACCATTCACAAGATATAAAAAAAAATAAAAATCTTCTTATATAAAATTAAAATTATAAGGCTCTCGAAATTAAAGCAATTAAAGGGAAAGAGGCAATAAGAGTCAGCGCGGTAAATGAGGCGCAAAGTTATATACATTTTTCAAACCATTGATAAGTTATATACATAAAAGTTTGCGAACGTTTTGACCACTTTTTGTGGTCATCTTCAGCGCAATTTGTACGTGGTCATAAATTAATCATTTAAAAATATACTATACGCGGTCATGAGGCTAAATTATTGTATACTCGCACGCTCCTTTTTCCATGAGTTTTGCGGTCCGTCAGGTGTGTGTGTTATAATGCAGGCGAGCAACCTTGAAATCTCTCCCAAGTTAGAAGGCTAGGAGGACCATGTTGCATTTGATATTACACTGTATTACAAGATACCTGCGTACATACGGAGTAGCACACTAAATTTACGGTTCACATCGATATAAAATTGAACATTATTAGTTACTTACAGTGAAACATGATTTTAACGGTATAGCGTACAAATTGAAAAATAACAGACGCAAGTTGCCTCTACGACGCTTGGAGGAATAATAACCGAATTTCACTGGCAAACACACATTGACATAGTTGGCTAAGCCAGAAACGAGCCAGCCTAGCTTTGTGTTCTGCGCCATTGGAGTGCCCGGGGCTGCCCCTTTGCAGCCCGTCCTCGACAATAGAGACGTATACGTCCGCGCCTAGCAGAAGTTCAACCGCTCCTGCGGTTTGCAAATTTGGATCAGCTAGGGGGAGCCCCTCCAGGTGGGGCCACCTCGGGAAAGCTGTCCCGTCATGGTTGGCGTGAGCAGTTATTTTCGGGATGACCAGTGCAAACACATTGATGGTGGCGTCCGTCACCCGAGATTCTATGGTCAGTTTGACGCGTCCTCGAGCTCTCTCTGTTCGCTTTTCGCAGACGCCAAGGATAATGGTAGCGGCGGAAGAGCGGGGAAGTCTTAAACGCTGGGCGAGGGCCTCTGTCACGAGGGATACCTCTGAGCCCGGATCGATGAGGGCGCGTGCAGCAACAAGGTCGTCGTGCGCACCTCTTATGTCAACCTTGGCGGTGGCCAACAATACCTTGCCGACATGTCCGTCGGCTTGACGGACGTGGAGCGAGATGGAGGCTGCAACGACGTTGACAGCGGTTGCTGAGCACGCGTCGTGCATCGTGCTGTGGTGCCGGCCTTGGCAAGCAGCACAGTTTCTTTTCGAAGTGCAGTTGTCAAGTGTGTGCCTCCCGTAGCAGTTGAGGCACAACTTGCTTTGTTCCGCAAATTCCCTTTTCTGGAGCGGAGATTTGCGGCGAAAGTCCTCGCAGTAAAGAATGTAATGCTCCTTTTGGCAGAGCACGCATTTATCGGCACCCTTGGACTTCTGGACCGCCGCGTGAGACCGCGCAGAGCTTGGTTTGGTGCTCTGTGCATCTGTCTTGGTGGCGGAAATTGGGTGAAGTGCCTCCAAAGTGCGTACTCGACACTCCAAAAAGCTCTTCAGAATGTCGAGTGATGGCGGGTCAGCAGTTTCGCTGACAGCGGTTTCCCATTCCCTTCGGAAACAGGGGTCGAGCAACTCCACGATAAGGTGCACGAACAAATCACTGCAGTCTGTGATTGGTCGTCCAATGCTTTCGAGAGAGCCCATGGTGTTAATTATTCCAAGGAAGATTTTTCGTAGGTCACCTACTGCTTCGTTCTTCATCTTCGGCAGCGACGAGAACGAAGTGAAGCAGGCACGCACCAATAGGCGCGTGTTAGCGTAGTGTTCAGCGAGCATGGTCCAGGCCCGAGGGTAGCTCTCGGCCGTGGTTGGTAGATTGCGTATGAGGGTACTAGCCTCGCCCGTCAAGCTTGTCTTCAGATAGTGAAGCCTCTCGACATCCGCCAATGAGGCATCTCTGTCCACCATTGAGTGAAACAGATCTCTGAACGCGGGCCAGTCCTCGTATGCACCGGAGAATTGTGGTAACAGGATGCGTGGCAATGTCTTGCGCATTGCGCCCTCAGCTGGTTTGGCGTTCTCCGGTCGGTCGGTGGATTGGCGGTCAAACCTGGCCAGCAGGTCAAGAAACTCTGATTTCTGAGTGAGGTAGGTTTCCTCAGCTATTGCGTAGAAATCTTCCTGTATATAGTCGTGCTCGCTGAGAGCCCTCCAATGAGCGATCATCATGTCATCGTGACTTTCTTTGAATTTTTCCCAGTTTGCGTCAAGGGCGGCCATGCGTGCTGTTGCGGTTCCGGCAGTAACTTTGCCGGCCCCCAGTTTCCTCAGATTATCAAAGGCTCTTGCCATTCGACCGTGTACCTCGTGCTGGCTTTGCACAGCTCTTCCTGTCTCAGGATTCATGCTGCTGCACTGTTAGTGGAACTTCCCTTTCCGTGCCTTCCGATTAACGTGCGGATATGAACAGTGGATGCAGTATTGTCTGGATAGCCTATCCGGCTCGAAGGACCATGTTTCGGAACGGCAGGGAATTTGAGGAAGGAAATTAAAGGCTCAATCAGTCATGAATCCTGTGTATCGAATTATGTATAGAGCTTTATTGCATCTTCAGGTACACTTTGGAGTTAACTTTAGTTCGCAATTATGCCTGTGCACACAGGCGCAGGACTTCTCAAAAAATGCTTAGAACTAGAATTTTAATTTGGCTGCTTGTCTAGCGTTAAGCGGCCGACCAGGAAGATCTTCGTCGTAGAAGACCTCTTGATTATTATTAGGATCGGTCACTTTTCCCGGAGTTGTCGGGGCCCGATCGAGGGGTAACTCCGGGATACCTGGGGAGGGCAGGGCCGGCGTGATGGTGGTTTGGTCCTTCCTCCTCTTCTTCTTCTTCTTCGTCTCGGTCTGCGTGCCGACCGTTTTCCACGCTCCTTGTGGCAATGGTCTCAGGGCCCGAGGGTCACCCGGAGCTAGGTTCAGCCCTGGGGTGCGTTCGAAAACACTCCACGTTCACGTTGTGTAGTGGATGTGGGGGACGGGCTCGGTGGAGCTGGTGGGCCTGCTACCGACGAAAGTTATCGAACGACCAATGTGTGTTGCTGTAATGTTTACAAACAAAAATGGCTGATTCAAATGCAGTTGTTCATCAGAAAAAACGCATATTAGCACTGGCTTTAGTCGCTTCCGACCAATTATTACAAATTATTATGTTGGACAGCAGTAGTAGTGAAAGTGATGAGGAATTTGATTTGGCATCATGTGAAATGCGATTGAGAGTGCGAGGTTGTAGAAAGACACCAGCACGGTGTCAAGGTTATATATCGGATACGATTCCAAGAATGACCTATAAAGCATTTCGCGAGCATTTTCGGATAACTTCGAACACTTTTGAGAATCTCGAAACGCGTTTGGGCCTGGCGTTATTTATTACAAATGATACAGGCCGACCTATGATACCTGTAAGAAACCAACTATTGTCGGTTTTGTGGCTGCTTGCTACTCCAGATTCGTACAGGTAAGGAAAATATGTTGTTAACTATTTATTGTTACAATGTTATAGAAATTACTGAAGTAACTAATTATTATTTCTTTGTCTAGATCTGTAGCCGACCGCTTTGGTATGGGCAAGTCATCGTTGAGTAACTGCTTCATGCGTGTTATCAAAGCTTTCAACGATATTGCTGGTGATATAATTGTTTGGCCAACAGGTGACAACCTTTTGACTGTAAAAAATAAATTTAAAGAAAATGGTGGTTTACCTGATGTCATCGGTGCAATCGATGGTACTGATATTGAAGTAAAAGGTCCTAAGGTAAGTAGAATAATATAGTATGTACACTGCTGTTCAATAATGCCTGGATGTGAGTTTTTACCATG